TATATAAGATACCTTAACTGAGAAAATAGTTTAATCCCGTCTGCTAATTACTCAAACTCTCATTTATTATATATAATAAATTTTGTTATCCTAACAAACCGACGGAAGATCCTTTTCTGCCCCCAATATATATATATATATATAAAGGGGTCAGTAGGGTAATCTTTTTTCAAACAAATTTTTTTTGGCATTTGCTGTTCCTTATAATTAATGTAGAAACCCACTTTACCATTGGATTGGATGATTCTAGTAGGGACGATAACCATTCACGTAATTTTTAAGAATAAATTGGGGTTTTGTTTACACACTCCACGACATACCTCATGATATGTGAAAAAAGTTCTATTGTAGAATAAAAGTTTCTACGAAAAAAGTCAAAGAAAATGGCCAGATTACCCTACTGACCCCAATTCCCACGACAGCCGGTTCTACGTTACCGGAATTGACTCGGATTTCATCCGTCCGTGTGAGTCGTCACTGGAGCAGCGCCTTGCAGCAGGGTTGCTCCGCATCCTCCTGACTCGTGCTGGCATTGAGTCCAAMCCGGGCCCGGAGGAATTCTTCTGCTGCGTTTGCGCGAAAAGGCTCCATCCAAACTCCACCTCGGTCAGGTGCAACACATGCAATGGATGGAGCCATCTTAAGACCTGCTCAGRCCTTAAGACCCATAGGGAGTGGACCACACGTTATGTGGCCCTTGGTTGCCTACGCAATACTGCGACCACGGTCCCCCGGAGCTCAACTAGGCAACATAGCTCCCAATCTGATTCCGCAATTCCGCAAGGTGATCGCAGCAGTTACCGCTCGGTTCATACCAGCTGGACGAATAGCGGAAATCCGCCCTAACTTCCCAGCCGAAGCAGCCGTTTTAGCTAACGAACGCGACACCTTACGCCATAAGCGGACAAAATGGATAGAGCACCTGAAGTCCTGAAGTCCAAACGATGTGTTAACCGACGGCTGCGCAAAATGCCAAACGACGGCGCGCCACTTACTTTCACCGATGAAGATGTTCAGGGTGTCATCAACAAAGCAAAATCTTCCAAATCCATTGGCCCTGATGGAATCAACATGCTAATGCTAAAGCATCTAGGCTCGACGGGAGTAAAATATCTCACCAAGGTCCTCAACCTGTCACTWACCACTCTTCAAATACCCGATGTGTGGAAAGTCGGAAGAGTGGTCCCACTACTGAAACCTGGAAAACCCGCCAACAAAGGGGAATCTTATCGTCCGATAATTCTCCTCTCCCCAGTAGTGAAGACACTTGAAGCCTTGTTGCTCCCGACCTTCCGTAAAATGCACAGTACCACCACAGCACTTAGCGTCATAAACGCTCAGATAGTTCGTGGCCTCAACCAGAAACCACCCTGTGAGAGAACGATCCTCGTGGCGTTGGACCTGTCAAAAGCTTTTGACACGGTCGCCAATCATCCGTACTATTTCGAGGCGCAACTTCTAAACTGAGAAGAATTAAACAAGGGGTTCCGCAGGGTGGTGTCCTCTCCCCACTACTGTTTAACTTCTATATCTCGAAACTCCCGCAACCACCAGAGGGGGTTTCCATAAGCTCGTACGCTAATGATTGTACGATATTGACGTCGGGCAATGGAATCGATGGCATGTGTTCGAAGGTAAACAACTACCTCTTCGACCTTTCTCGTTTCCTCACTCAATGGAGCCTCCAACTTTCCCCTACCAAATCCACAGCGACCATATTCACGAACTGGACGAAGGAGTACAGGCTGGAACTTAATATTGCAGTCGACGGCGTCAAAATTCCGACTGTCAATAACCCTAAAATTTTAGGTGTTACCTTCGACAGTCTATGCTCCTTCTTTCCACACACGACCGCGATCATCGCCAAAGTACAGAGTCGCAACAAAATCCTCAAGTCGCTAGCCGGCAGCACATGGGGAAAAGACAAAGAAACGTTGTTGGCAACTTACAAGGCAAGGSCGGCCGGTCCTCAACTATGCAGCACCCATATGGTCGCCTGGATGCAGTAGCACGCAGATGAGGAAACTACAGACCTGCCTCCTGATGTCTCCTATTGAGCACCTACATAGCGAGACGCTTATGCTCCCAGTCAAGGAGCATAATGAACTCCTCTCCAAGCAGTTCCTGCTAGGATGTTTTCRCAGAAATCACCCTTGCAGTCATCTGCTTGGAGCAGAACCGCTTCCTAGGAGCATCAGGAGGTCATTCCTTGATCACGTYGACGACATCGAACAGTACGCCGACAGGACCTCGGACGCTACAGACTTCCGACAGGTACTGACCGCCATTCACAGTGGAGCCATCAACACCTTCACCGACTCCCTCCCCGTGAATGGCGTACTTGGAGTCAAATCACCACCCATAGCAGACGAAGAGCTCGAGTTGCCGCGAGAAACGCGAGTGACCCTTGCGCAATTTCGTTCTGGATATTGTAGCAGGCTAAACTCCTACCTATCCAGAATAGACCCAGACATACCCAACATATRTCCTGCATGCAACGAGTCTCCGCATGACACTAACCATCTCTTTGCATGCCCAACCAACCCCTCTGGTCCGACCCCGACGAAACTGCACGTTTTCTGGGCCTCCCGTTAGATGACATCGACGACAACACAGATGGCTATCACCATCCCAACGGGGACTGATAACCGTTACAACAACAACAACAACAACTGACCCCTAAAGTGAATTCCGACTTCCAATCATTCTTTAGACCGTTTAGGTTGGGAATGTGGTTCACCGCTGAAGATGAATCCCCCCCATATATACTATATATAATTAGCCTCTTCGATTGGGTTTATGTCAGATATGTTTTCTTTGAGGCTGCTTTTAATACAATTTTCGGCGTCGGGAGCAAAATTATAGTTATAAAAGTATTTTAGTTTATTACAAGTCACTATAAGTTAAAAAGATACAAATTTGATCGTAACTCATTCACGATTTCATCGAACAGTGACAACATTGTTAAAAATAAGGTTTACTTACACCTGAAATAAAAATAATAAATATATATAATGTTCGCTTACATTCGAATATAAATATGAATATTTTATGTTTATAGGTCAGTATAACTCAAATATTGTGGTAAATTGTTATAAATATTTTAAAAATAAAATATGTAACTCAAAATATTTCTAGGATTAACATTTCATCGGCCAAACTATCCAATTCTGTATATTTTCGTTCTTTACATTTAAGTTACATTTCTTGCGTTTTACCCAGAGATATAGAGAGATTCCAGGAATCGGTATCATTGGGTAATTTATTCATAATTTTAGAAAATAGTAATGGTAAGAAAGCTACGGATACTCAAAAGGAAAGGCAGATATTTTCAGGACTTTTTCAAAATATTACACTTCTCATTTGCTTAGCAATGCGAGAGATATTTAAGTTTATTTATGTAACGACAGTAACTAAAACGAGTGATATTTAATGAAATTCTTTAATATGAAAGTAATGTCTCTTCAGGTGTTCCGCAAAGTAATCTGTTGCCGATTTTGTTCTTGTTTTCTATTAACGATATTTCTTCCGTAATAAAGTGCTCAAAAATTTTATTATAAGCCAGCATTTAATTCATATATCTCAATTGATGAAAGTGGCAGTCTTAAATAATTTGGTTGCTTGATTTAATAGAAATAATTTCTCATTGAATTTCAAAGACGATGTGTTCTTTCTGTAGACCTGAGTACCACTCTCTATGTAATGGAAATATAGATTAGATAAATTTTTTTTTACTTTGTTGATTTGGGTGTTAAGCGTAGATCTAAATCTATTTTAAATCTAATTTAGAGCACCGTATATACTAAAATACTTTCAACAACTTTGAATAGGCCTATATTGAAATATGGTTGTTTTGTAAGGATAGCAAAACCCATTCTGACAGTGAAAAACAATTTTATTTTTCGCCTTAGAGCATTTCCGATTTTATGATGTGACTCTCTTTGTATACTAGGGATTTAAAAGTTATAAATCTACCTAATCTATATAGAGAGGTGTTTGGCATAATACTTCTGAATGAAACAGTTTGCTGTTTCTTCGTTTGACCCAAATGTTGGGCTAAACGAACCATTCCGCCTCATACATGTTTTTAATTCACATTCGTGCACATTTGAGATTCACTTTTCAATATTAAATGCACTTATTGTTTTATCTTAATAAATTAATCGTAACAATTTGTTATTTTTAAATCTTAGGTGTTAGAATTTTGGTTTCTGACTAATTCGGTAAGTACGCGGATTGCCTCCTCTTGACGGTTGGCGGGATCGTTGGGTTATTTTGATTTCGTGGTCCCAACAATCGAGTACGTATTCTTTTTTAATGTATTATAACAAAGATTCAAATATTGATTTAATAATTTATTTTATTATTTTGACTTTTGCCGCAAAAACAAAAACTATAAAACTGATTTGAATTGAAAGGTAGTTTATATATTGTCCCTTAAAATGCAAAACAACGTATCATCAAAAAAATTCGAAATTCAGGTTTTTATTGCTTACGATTTAATACATCATATTACATATACATACATAAGTATACATATATCATAAGCGTTAAAGCTTCCGTTGTCCAATATATCCAGTATATAACCAAAACACAGATTTTGTTTTAATATGAGTGGTTTCTATTATATCGTTTTACCTTCACGTAGAAATTTATGAAAAGTGATGTTACGTTATTTTGCATTCTAGGTGACGATATGTATGGTAGATATGTACATATACTGGCATCGATATATCGTGATAATATTTCAATTGTGGTAAGAAGATTTTCGCAAGTTTAAATATTAGTACGTGCTATTAACCAACTAAATTCGCCGCAATTGATTCATGAGCGACTACAATTATTTAGTTGTATGCTCAAAGCACCGACGCCTATCTAGGCGACTATCTCCCACCGCCGAGCTCGAAAACATCTCAGTGCGAGAACTGGCGAAATGGCACGTTGAGCTGGTCGAAGAAAGAAAAGCATAAATCGGCCCACACGATGAGCGAGTGGGCAGTCGTACAGAGTTTTTGCAGCCGTTCAGTAGTCAACGCAACATAAAAGATCGAAACAATAACGGAGTGGATCACTAAACCAAACAAGAAGATCACCAAACGCTAGTCAGCTGGTCCAGACAAACCAACTTAACAAACAAACATACATACATAAATATGTGCCTAGATTAATTTTGCGTAGTGCCTTCGGAGTATTTAATACATCCGTAGAAGCTAATATACTTATAAATATATACAAATAAGTATCTACATACTAATTTGTGTTCTATCAGAGTAAAAACTCATTTGACGTCGAGACGCCGTAAAAGTGTCTATTTTTGTTAAAAATAAATTTCTGCAAGTAAAAAATCGCTAAGGTCGCAGAAATTTTTACCGAATTGAGTTAAAATATTTTCGCTGAGCGGAAAACATTCGCGGAAAATTTATTATTTGATTTCAAGAGTTACATTCATGCTTTGCCTACGTCAGCAGACAAATTATGCAAATTTACGAAAGGTCAGCCACGAAAAATAGTAAAAAAGGTACAATTTAGATCGTATAATTGTGATTAAAAAATTCAAAAATTGCCTGAAACACCATTTGTTTTATTAGTTAAATATTGGATCAAATAAATACTTGAGAGTGATAGTGCTTTTGTTTGCGCCCCTTGTATGGTCAGAGTTATGAAAGTGTCACCGTATACACTGCAGCCGCCACCTTATCGAAACAAACGAAACTCGGAATATCTATTCGACGCATCTAAAAGTTATCATACAAAAATCGAGATCGTCGCACTGGCGAAGGATTGCAATCTCAAGTTGAAATTAAAAAAGTTACAAATATATTTTATGTTTAATAATTTATGTAAACGCAAATCCATAGATTTCGAACAACACTTGACAAAATTATTAACACTTAAAACACAAAAGACTTCATTGATCATTAATGAAAGAAGTTTCGTGAGTGTTGGTAAATTGATCAAGTTAATTGTTGGTTGAAAAACTTAGAGTCTCAGTGTAGCTGAACGGGGCAAGTACAGTGATATTGGCGTAGATATTCGACATAATCCTATTTTCTATTGTATTTGCTCCAATATCTTAATAAGGTGAGTATTTTTTATGAAAAATTTTGATAGTTAAAATTAATAAGTTGCTTGAACTATGGTAGATCTTTACCATACTTCGTTTAGTTAATTTTTCAACTTTCGTTTAAGTTATGTACTGTATTAGAAAAATATGAAAATTGTTTTCGGACTCTATTAAAAATAAGGTATTTTATTTAAGTAATGAGAACCATGAGGATTTTTTAACTAGTTTTCGCTTGGCATTTATATCTAATTTCACACTAATTAGAATACCTATGTTATTTAAGCCCAGTGGACTTCAGGTTAAATACATTTGAATTTTCAAATACCTGCTGTTATTTTCACTGATGGCAATATCTATCGAACCCAGTGGGGTTTTTTAATTCATAATAATTTATTTATTAAAGAGATAGTKTTATAAAATCATTATATATATATATATAATTTTTGTACTGTAATTAAATTTTAGTATATTTCGAAATGCTTAAGTGCCAATTGTTGTGTTAAAGTTTTGCGAGTTTTAAATAAATTTGTTGGATGATTGAAATAAGGTAATTTTTATAACGATATTATTAAAACTAAACTAGTAAGGTTGAGCTAAGTTCGGATGTAACCGAACGTTTTATGCTCTCGTAACTCTTAAGAATTGATACTCCTTGATCAACTTTGAACACAAAGCTAGCGAGGTTGACACTAGTATTGCTGCTCTGCTGTTGGAGTGGATGCTCGCCTTTTTGTAGTCTTAAAAGCAGCCTGAAAAACATAATAGTGGTACCACAGCTTAAAACTAACCTTGAAGGAAGACTAAATATAGAGAATTCCGTCATCCAATCTTCTTTCCAGCTTGGACCCATCCGTGCATACATATATCACTTGTCTACATAAATATATGCGAGAAGAAAAAGAGTAGCCTTCGCGACGCAGTTTTGCAGCTTTTTCAGGAATTTTAGGGAGGAGAGAATTCTAGCCTGTCTTCGTGCCCATAGTCTTAGAGTTATCTTAGCAGCAATGCTAATACCGACAATGTCCACGGACGCTATGGGTAGAATGGAATTAAGGACTATTGCTGGTGTAGTCTGCAATCCACCAGAGAAGCCATAAGAGCCATGTTATGGACATGTTTAAGCATCCTAGCCTTTTCGAACGCTCAAAGGAACGCTTGGGGTCTTATACCTCTTGGTAAATAAAACCATTTCAGTTTTAGTTGGTTGGCGGTAGTTAGAAAATTTTCCTTTTACCATAAGAACAATGGCTTCACCGCTCTTTGCTCAAGTTCTTCCAGAAGATCAATTACAATTCGTTGGGACTTGTACGTGGTTATGCATTGGTTTATTGGTACAAAAATTAAAAGGAAATTATTATACACCTCTATTTTTATACAGCTCACTTTAGCTAAAAAATATTCCTATTTTGCTGGTTGAATCACTTTTATACAGTTGATTAAAATTTTAAATTATTTGTTTAGTTTTTTGATACCAATGACAGTTGAAATAATGGTAACCATGTCTAACCGTACCATGCGAATGGATATTGGTCAAAAGGGAGTAATGAGTATTGAAGGGGTAGAAGTCTTGAGAGTGAAACTGAATTCGTTGATGAAGGCCGCAATGTGTGATAAACACAACAAGCCAGATCCGATTACATCGCGACAATCCATTGTGTGCTCCACACTGACAATTTGGAATTTTTATTTCCCACAATTACAAAAAAATTACAATTATCATTAAAACAGTTTTCACTTTTAAATGAAAACCAATAATTAAATTTGCTTATACAACATGTGCATGTATTTGAAAGTGAGATCAAATTCATAAATCTGCCTTTAAAAAAATCTATTCATAAATAATTTGTGTGTTTAAATCTTTTACAGGTTTACTTCAAACTATAATCTGCTCTATCGCTACCCTAAACAAGAGTAAATTGTTGCTTCTTCTATTTTGATCATTTGTATGCCCATATTTTAACCTTTTCCTGCATATATTTGTCTTCTCTGTTTATTGTCATTACAGTAAACTAATTTTAATACAAACCACCACAGAGCATAAGTTTATCAATTTACAGAAACAATTTTTTTTTGATTTAGAAGTATTCCACAAATGACAAAGCAAAACTCAAAATATTTGCTATCTCTATACTTAATTGGGGCAGTGCCTTAGTCACTCAGAAATAAGGTGTATAAAATAAATCAGTTTGATAGACTAAACAAAGATATAATAATATAAATTTGCAAGCGTTCTGATCAGGAAAATTATCTGCCCTTTCTAAGCTTATATCTGTTCAGGGTATAAAAACTAAATTGTCTAACTTGACTATTTCGCCGGGCCGGCCCTTAACATAAAATTCGCAACCTACATATGTCGATTTATAATTAAAATGTTGTAATTTTGAGAACTTCTTTATTCTTTATTATATTTATTGCTTATATTCATCAGTCCATCAATCAATTCATTGAAATATGCAAACTATGAAAACTTAGGACGGATGTGCTAATGGTGAAATTAAGATGAGCGTATAAAATATCAGTAAGCGAGTATCTGCACATCGGAAAGTGGATAAACAAAATATATTTTAATGTTGCTAATTTATGCGAATTTGTCGTTGATATTGAATCTGCCAAAATGTATGCGGCTGTTTTATACCGTTTTCAAGGATTTTCCACACAGATGCTGAAAAATCAGCACTGCACGCTTACTGAAACGGCATTTCTGAGGCAACGAGATAACCTGTTGTTTTACACTAATGCCAAATGGTGATAACCACACCGAAGCATACAGACAGACGTACTATTTGTATATGTATGTTACCCATAGACGGCAGGTATACACAAATAGAACCGGTTACTGTTATCAGTGAGTGCCGAGTTTTTGTTTTTGTGTTTGTGTTTTCTTCTTGCATTTTTTAGGTAAAATAATTCTCCAAATTCTTTAAAATTGTTATTATTAATCAATATCTTAGATCTAACACCTTAAGATATCCAGGGAAAATAGCGGAAATATAAACAAAGTACCTAAGTTTTGACGAGAATTAATTTCTAAATATGTATGTATATTTTATATGCCTTAAGAGACTGAGAACTGGGGATAATCCAAATTAGAATCTTTTTATAATATAATAAATACCAAAGATGTGATGTTTGAAAGAGTTATCAATAGCCTGCTTAGGAAGTTGCATGCCTATCAACAAATTAACCAATTAGTTAGCAAAAATATTCTGCAGTTTTTAATATGCTTTCTGGGTTGGTGTAGTGTAAAATATTCTCAAAACTAATTTGATTTCGGTCGGCACTAGTGTTTATTTATTTATATTTATCCATAGTTTCCACAAATTTTCTGGATCAATCTTTACTTGGTTTAAAAAGAAAGCTACCGACTTAAAAAAAATCTAAATTGTAAAATTAGTTTTATTTATTCAACGCGTAAATATATTAATAGTCGTTTAGTCACTACCATTTTTTATAACTACATTACAACGGGAATACATACTAACGACTAATTTTTCAGCACATGACTATGTTAAATTTCGCCATGTTGAACTAATATTCCGTTTTCACTGATTTATTGATCGCAACTTTTTCATAAGTGCCCGAACATTTCAGATCGGTTTCGCATTTGACGACTGTGAGGGCCAATCTAATAAAGCTATAATTTTTCCTTCTTCTCATCTGCTATGCAAGCAACTCCGATGCTTGAGTCATTGTCTCTTGAAGAAACCAATCCCGCATTCCTACCTAAAACCACGTATCTGATATTGGTGGAAGTGCACGATGGTATATCGTTCTTATGAAGATATGTCTTTACGACTAAGGCCTTTAATTGGCTAACTGGGGCGGCACAAAGCACCATGAACCGAAAATATATAAAGTTTATTTTTTAAGTTGTAATAGGAAATTTTAGTTGCAAGAGGTACCTGATGGGAAAAAATTTTGAAAAGTGGGAGTGGCGCCGACTTCTAATAAGTTTAGTGTATATATTTCCCAAGCCACTAAAGCTTCAACAAAGAAATTTGCCTAGCACAAATATTATAAGAACTCCTAATGACAGTGTTAAAGCGGTTGAAATCGGAAGATAACCCCGCTAAGCCCCATATAACGATGATATTTGAAGGCTTTATGGGAGCTGGAGTGAAAATTGTACGATAGTTGTGGCACCGCCCACTTTTTGGGGAAATCTCATACCTCTGGACCCCTCCAACCTATTTCGACTATATTTAGTACGTAGCATTCTTCTCATGTTGCTATGTCACAGTGTGAAATCGGAATATAACACACAGTTTTAAATTCCATTTGATACTTTCACATTCCAGTATCCAAATCAATAAGCAATTAATACAACTTCGCACGAATAATTCCTTTAAAGTATGATACTTTATAACCAAAAGGTGTCCAATTCCAACCAATACCGAATATGTGGGTTGAATATTTATTGTTGACCTTTGACCGAAAATATCGGTCAATATATGGGATATACAATTGAATTCCCATATACCTTATATAAAGACATTCGAACTGCCGGTATACCGCATATATCGGTGAGTTACCTCAATAAAAATGAGAGAGCGTGTTTTACTCATCTCAGTGTATTTTTGTGTCTAAAATATATAAAATGATGCGAAAACTTGACCTAGCTCCCATATATGAAACTAGTGTCAGGATTTTCGAACATCCGGCTAACTGTATTCCATATGATTGGTGATTGTATTAAAAATGTGAAAAAGATGATTCTTTTCTTGTTGGACGCAATGTATGAAGAACCCTTTAAATTATGTTAACAAATATAAACTAATCTGTTTAATGATATGTTTTATTATTTATTGTACTACAACTTAAGTGACTATGAGCCTTTGTGTCTAAACTTAAGAGCAATCGGTCAAAGAGTTTTGCTTTACGTAGATATGTAAGCATAAGCGTCATCATTACGACAAATAAACTGGTGGATTCTTTTATCGATGAACTGAAATACACGGATTACCTTTTACATTTCGGAATCAGAGAACAAAAACAAATATTAATCATCGAAAATCGC